AAACGGGGGGGAAGCGGTTGAGCTCCCGAGCCCTGATAATATTTCCGTCGATTCATCGAAGAGAAGGGTGGATTCGGACAGTGCATGGCATAGTACAGTCAAACGCGTAAAACAGGACTAGAAAATATGTGTATGCATATTGAAGACTTACGCAATGGGTGGGTAATTATCAAGATTCGGCGTTTGGCAAGAGAGCAAAAGCACTGTGGCTGCCTTGTCCAACGGCGTTCGAACCCGGTGAGGCGATTGCCTTGCTACTTGTACCGTACTGAAGCGCGCCCGCAAAAGACCCCGGCCGATGCGAGAACCCGTTAAGTTACAACAAGACTCTGTCGAGTCTACTCTGCATCACCATAACTCGGTAAGATATCCTCGAAGCATCTTCTCTATGGATGAGGCCATTCGACGGTTGGAGCTCATCTCTGCCAGCAATTGGCTCGCGTGGGCCATTATGGGCACTTTGGCGGCAGTCGGGGAGGGACACGTCTTGATAGGTGCTAAACCCGTCCACGCTTGAAACATCCGAGATGGTCGCCAAGGACAACTTTCTTGGTTGGAAAGGTTGCGAGCCAGCCAAGGCCACAGAGTTGCATGTTGACTCAATTGTAAGCCATGTGTAAGGGGCTACGCCCCGATGTGTAGATCTGGCATGGCCAGACTAGTCACGTGCGAGCGCCACGGACACGACTCCTAAAGGGAGCGATGTAGACACGTCTCCCCTTTACACTCTTTGTAGCTCAATTTACATCAATTACGCCCAGCACCTGTGCCAACAGTGCTGACCCTAACATATTGAGCTACCAGTTAACAAAAGACAGGACAGACAGAAGGACAGACAGCAGGACAGACAGCAGGACAGACAGCAGGACAGTCAGCAGGACAGACAGCAAGACAGGCGATAGGCTAAACGACGAGACGGACGATCGATCGGACGACGAGACGGACGAACAAGATGGAGGACAATAGTAGTTATGCAGGGGCACCGCGACCGGCGGCGCAACGAGCCGATGGAGGAAGGAGCAAGAGCTCTTGCAGATCTTATCTGGGATCGCGGGAGACGAAGAACTGCGGAAGATGTTCACCGGGCTAGGCCTAGCAGCGCCACCGTTGACACCCAGCCCGGGGGTGCTCAGTACCCCGGCGATCTTACCCGTCGAACCGAGGCCGGAAGCAGCCCAGGAAATGGACCGTGGCAAGAAGCGCAAGCCGATGACTTGGCCGAAGTGGAACGGTCAACCGAGTCCTTCCACTTCTACCTCGACCGTCTGGTATTTAAGTACAATACCGACGAAGAGGAGGGCCTAAACGGCAATAACAACGTCGTGTGGTACGAGATCCTGCAGACCTTGCCGGATCAGATGATGAGGAGAGTCGAGGGTTTTTGGAGGCAAGAGAGCGCGAAGGGCAACCCAGACCCCCGGAAATTCTTCTCGCACCTAGCCCAGACGTTCGGCAGCGTGCAGCAGACAGAGAGGGCGCAGGACAGGCTGCGCACCTCATTCAACGAGACAGCCAAGAGTTTGGGAAGTTCCTCCTGAATTCGAGGAAACATTGACCAAAGCGGGCGGCGCGAGCTGGGATAATGCTTCCAAGCTCGCATGGCTACGGAACTCGATCTCTCCTGCTCTCCGTGAGCAACTAGTCCCGGTTATCATGCCGAAGGACTACAACGAGTACATCCAACGTCTACACCCGATTGCTTGGGCGTTCGAGCACACCGCGAAGTTTAAGGCGTTGCAGAGGAAGCAGGGCTCCCGCGGGCAACGTGACCAAGGGCAGGCATCAGGCATCGGCAACATCCAGGTCGCCGGTAACGACAACACCCCGGCACCGTCAGCAACGTTACCCGCCGAGCAGAACGCACGTGACGCACGCGACCATGACGGCGACGTAATAATGACGGTTACACGCACTCAGGGGCAGGGTCAGAGAGGACGGGCGAACGGCCAGGGGTCAAGTGGAACGAGCAAGACGGTTCGCTTCCAGCCTAGGTCAGGACGGAAGCAACGGGCGAGGTGGGTATCCGAGGACGAACGGAATAAACGCCGTGACGAGGGTCGTTGTCTCCGCTGCGGCGACAACACCCATTTCATTGCCGCTTGCCCCTACTCGCCAGGACAGGACCCTAGCCGGTCGAGGGATGTAAAGTCCGCACCGCTAGGATCATGCCCTTGCTGGAAGATGATGGTAACGACTCTAGTGAGGAAGAGTCAGGACTTAGCGAGACCCCATCCTCTCGGAAATGCGTAGCCTCGAAACAAAGACGGGTCTCGAGGCCAAAGAACGGAGCAGTGGCAAAGAAGAGAAGTTCTCAGGAAAATGGAAGTTGGTCCTACAATAATTCGAAGCATTATCAATAGGACCAATCTCTTCTCCTCACTCGTAGACGAGGGATGCCAGTGCTACGCCGCGGTTGACGAAGAAGTCGTCGAGAAGTTGGAAGTTCCTATAGTGGAAATAGCACCGCGAGCTATTACAGGAGCATCAGGGGCAATGGAAGGAGCAACGATTAGGGGCCTCGTATGGCTATCAATGGAGGTCAACGGCCACATACAGACGATCTGTGCCTACGTGGTGCCCCGATTGGAATTCCCCCTAATCCTAGGAAAACCCTGGTTATGCCACACAAAGTCGTACTCAGTGCCCCACGAGAAACGACTATGGCATGAACCTACACAAGACTGGGTAGATCACCTCGGGAAGGAGAATATTCTGCGAAAGCCAAGGAGTTCGAAGAAGCAAAGCACGTACTAGCCAGTACCTTTGTGGGTTACTTTGAAAGGATCCGCAAGCAGGAAGGAAGAGAGGCAGCTGCCACGGCGATTTTCGCTATCAGCATGAAGGATATCGAAAGGGCGTTATCACCAAAGAAACCCATGTCAGAAGCAGAGCTACGCCGAACGATACCCCAGCGGTTCCACGATTTACTGCCTCTATTTATGAAGAAGGAAGCTGATAAGCTGAATCCTCATAAGCCAGGCATAGACCACGAAATCAGAATCAAGGAGGACCCGAATGGCCAGCAGTTACCACTACCGTATGGAGCACTATACGGTATGTCACGAGAGGAACTCCTGGTTCTTAAGAAGACTCTACGAGACCTAGTGGATAAAGGATTTATCCGTGCAAGCAGTTCAGAAGCAGCAGCTCCAGTCCTGTTTGTGAGGAAACCAGGTGGCGGGCTGCGATTCTGTTGTGACTACAGAGCGTTGAACGCAATCACTAAGTCGGACCGTTACCCCTTCCTCTAATAGGGACACACTTCGCAACCTAAAAGATGCGAAGTGGTTCACTAAGGTCGACGTGGTACAAGCGTTCCATAAAGTACGGGTTGCAGAAGGAGACGAGTGGAAGACAGCGTTCCGCACCCGGTACGGTCTCTTCGAATGGATGGTTACCCCGTTCGGGCTAAGTGGCGCGCCAGCAACCTTCCAGCGGTATATTAACGGTATCCTACGAGACTACCTCGACGAGTTCGCCTCTGCTTATATGGACGATATACTTATCTATTCGAGCGGGAGCAGAGAAGACCATTTCCGGAAGGTACGGTTAGTTTTAGAACGCCTCGCCGAGCATGGACTACACCTAGACCCGGAGAAATGCGAATTTGGAGTCAAGCGGATTAAGTACCTAGGATTCATTATTCACGCAGGAATTGGCATTCAGGCAGATCCCGACAAGATACGAGCAATAGTCGAGTGGGCAGTCCCCGTTACCCAGAAGGGGGTGCGCAGTTTTCTAGGATTCGTTAACTACTACCGGATATTTATACCGCAAGCCTCGGAAATAACTGCACCCCTAACAGCACTAACAGGAAAGGGGACTAAGTTCAAGTGGACGGACGAGCACGATATGGCGTTCCAGACACTAAAGACGCTATTTACGAACGCCCTATTCTTACTCAATGGGATTTCGAGGCCAACCTTCGTAGAAGCAGACTGTAGCGGCTGGGCGCTTGGGCACACTTACGCAGGAAGTCGACGGACAACGCAAGCCAGTAGCGTTCCACTCGCAGAAGCTATCACCGGCTGAGCGCAACTACCCAATCCATGATAAGGAAATGCTCGCTATTATTCGTTGTCTCGAACAATGGTCAGCCGAGCTACGAAGCTGTGATAACTTCGTTATCCTTACCGACCATAAGAACCTCGAGTATTTCATGACGCGCCAACAGCTCTCGGAAAGGCAGGCACGTTGGGCTGAATATCTCTCGCGTTTTAACTTCCAGCTCCAGTACCGTCCGGGACGGAAGCAGTGGTGCCAGACGCGCTCTCTCGCCGCGAACAGGACCGACCAAACGAAGCGGATCACGAAGCACGAGATATGCAGCTTATTCCAGAAGCAGCCCTACGTACCTACGTCGGAGTAACGTCGACTCAAGCGGGAGAAGGCGAAGAAGAACACACGGTTTTCCACGACCCAGAGCTACAACAATTATGGCAGCAAACGGCAAACCAGGATCCAGTCTTTACAAGCGTTTATAACGCGGTACGAAACGGATCTCGGTCCTCGACCCCAAGCTTAAGCTGAAGGTACAAGTCGCCGAGTGCTTTATTGATCCTCGGGGGCACCTACGACTACGTGGCCGCTTATGGGTGCCAGGCGCACCGATCACGACAGAAGCAGCAGCCAAGGCAGCACCGCTAGAGCAGGAGTCGCTAAACGAATTACGGGGCTCCTTAATCCAGAAGGTTCATGACTCCCATGTAGTAGGCCACCCGGGACGGGAAGGGACGATAGAAGCCGTATCCAGGGACTTCTACTGGCCGCTAATGCAACAGCATATCCGACGTTTCTTGCGTAACTGCGATGTCTGCGGCCGTACGAAGATATGGCGCGAGCATAAAAGGGTCTACTTAGACCGCTACCCGTACCGGACCGCTTCTTCCGCCAGATACAGATGGACTTTATTACGGACCTCCCTTGCGAACGGTAACCGCTGCCTCTGGGTTATCAAGGACCGGCTAAGTAAGGAAGTTATACTCGAACCGATGCCAACGATGGAAGCGGAAGCATGTGCAGAGCGTTTTCTATGGTGCTTCGCCCGCTACCACTGGTGGCCCGACGCTATAACGAGCGATAGGGGCTCGAATTGGGTAGGCCGCTTTTGGAGGCACATGTGCAAGTTACTGGGGATCGACCAGCAGCTAAGCACGGCGTACCACCCCCAAACCGACGGAGGCCCTGAGAGGATGAACCAAGAAGTACAGGCATACCTCCGCGCCGTGATTAACCAGAACCAGAACGACTGGGATAAGTGGGTTCCCGCGGCTCAGATGGCGTTAAACGGTCGGGTCAATACCTCTATAGGGATGTCCCCATTCTTCGCTATACACGGCTATGAGCCGAAGTCACCAGTTCCCCTCGTTACGGAAGCATATGCGGAAGAGTATCCTCAGCATTCGCCAGAAACCAGGGCAAAGAAATTTGTTACCAAACTACAACAGATTACGGACCTCTGCCAAGCATCAATGGCGACAGCTACGCAGCAACAAGAACGCTTCGCTAACAGACGACGGAACGCGGCAGAACGCTTCGAAGTAGGCGATAAGGTTTGGCTTGACTTACGGAACTACGCGTCAGAGCGACCTAAGAAGAAGTTCGACTGGCTGCACGCTAAGTATACGATAAGCAAGGTACTCGACCCGTACACGGTTGAACTAGCAGACCTCCCGAGGGGCTGCTATAATAGGTTCCACGTCGACCAACTCCGGAGAGCGGGGACGGACCCAATGCCTGGTCAGCAACGCACAGACGCTCAACCCCCATCTATCCAAGTAGACGGGGAGGCTCACCAAGTAGTAGAGGAAATACTATGCGCTAGGTGGAAGAGAACCGGCCGCGGCCGTAGGCGGGAAGTCCTTGTACGCTGGCAAGGTTGGCAAGACCCGACCTGGACCTCTTTAGACAATATGCAACAGACAGCGGCCTTGGATAAGTACGAACAGAGATACGGCCCGGCTCTCGAAAACGATGGACCATACCAGCACCGACGAGTGGCAACGGAAGCACAGCCGGCCCAAATCCAGGGGCAAGTCGAAGGAATACAACCACAGCTGCAGATACAGGGCAAGAGAATACGCGGACCACTACGGGCTAGGACTAATGGCGACGCCCCGTCGATAGTAACGGCACCAGACCCTATAGACGACGGCCCTACGATCGTTGTAGAGGACCAGGAACAGGAAAAGGGCACCAGCGCCAGAGAGGAGTAGGGGCTAATGTAAGGGCTACGCCCCGATGTGTAGATCTGGCATGGCCAGACTAGTCACGTGCGAGCGCCACGGACACGACTCCTAAAGGGAGCGATGTAGACACGTCTCCCCTTTACACTCTTTGTAGCTCAATTTACATCAATTACGCCCAGCACCTGTGCCAACAGTGCTGACCCCGTAACACCATGCAAGGGCAGAGGCACAAACAAAATAGGGGACGAATGGGGAGACGCGTCTAAGGGTGAAGAGCCTGCTGTAGGACTGCGACAGGGTGAGGATAGAGTCCGCAGCCTGGAGACAGATTTCGCGGGGTCGGACGTCGGAATCAGCCAGGACAAGGTTGGCGAGAGGGCGGAACAGGCAGAGTAGGCAGAACTGATAGTACATGCTACATGCGGGCAGTCAGCCGGATAATGCTGTCTCTTCTCCCCTCTGTGTCTCTCGGCCCCCTCCCGAGTCCTGTGAGCCGGGTTCTTGTGTCTGTGTACATACTTGTTGCGATTGAACTTGCTTCTATTCAATTCTGTCTGACAGCTCTCAACATATATATACATAGTGGCACGTCCGTGCCACTATCCAGTGACTCACCACTTGTAAGTGCTGCCTAAACATGTCTTGGTCCATGTCTCATACCAAGTCAACACTGGATAAAGAGTACAAAGGGGGTGTCACTGCCGCCGGTTTTGGGTAGGGAGAAGAATCCTTCGTACCAATCGAGATACTCGGTATACACTGCCATGACCTCGGCTGTGTCGAATCGTCCGTTTGGGGTATGGGTTGCTGATGAGAGGAGCTTGTACACCCATTCCGTGAGCTGGAAGACTCTTGCTGGAATGAGCTGTAGACTGCGCAGTTGCGAGCCGCGTGCTTTCAGGGCAGGGTCTGCAGCCGTGTTACGGTGCGACTCCTGATTGGATACAATTCCTGGGTATACCTAACTTGATGCATTCACCTGGTGTAGTTCCGCTGCCGCACTGGCCGCCAAACAGGTACTCGGCACTGCAGGCGGATTGGTCTAGAAATATTGAGTCGTCTTGTAGCTTGCAACTCGTAGACATGGTGAAGACTTGGCCCGTCGTGAGACGAAGTATGCTGTGTGCGGAATCCCATCAGTTTATGCTTCGGAGGAGTCGGGAACAGGGGCTGCAAGCGGTTTACAGACCGAATCAGGGACACGGCGCCGCGGTACGAAGTAGCCCAAACTTTGGCATACTTCTCGGCCTCGGAGCCCATCAGGGGCTCTTGAGGACAAAGATTGACTATCCTAGCGGCAAAGGAGTCGGCAAGCGCTTGAGCTTCGGCCTCGCGCCCGCAGGTAATCTGGTAGAGCGAGAGAATCCCGATGGCCTGTATATCTGGGAGGTTGGCCGAGGGGCCGGTTCTGCGGATAATGGCCTCGGCCTTGTCGAAAGTGGTTTGCTTCCGCACTTGAAGCCAGGCCCCGGCTCTCCGCTTCGTCGCTGATCTCGTGGACCACCCGGGTTGCCAGCGCGATGAGCGCGTTTACCAGGGCAGAGGAGCAGTACCGGCTCGAGCCGCTGCAATAGTCTCGGAAGAAGGGGTCCTTGCACATGAGGCAGAAGGGAGGTAGTCCCAGGTGAGGAGGGCGTCGAGGATCTGCCGAACCGAAGCCACCGTACACCCGGCGCACGTCCACCTGTCGGTTTGCGCGTGTGATGCATCGTCAAAGGGCAATGACGGGAAACAGGAGCCGCCAGGGCCGGTGTCGAAGTCGCCTTGGGAGCCTCGGTCAGTGTGCTGAGGTCGCTCGAGCCCGAGGCAGAACGGTGCATGGTGGGCGACGGCAGTCGGCTCAGGCAGTGCGGGCAGACGGCTTCGTCGAGAATGGAGCTGGAAGAGCCCGCCGATGATTCCTGTTCACCTCCATCTGACGAGCCACGCCCGTTTTCACCGTTCAGGTGCGCCAGCTCCTGCAGAATGGCTTGGTGAGACTTGGTCCCCTCGACCAAGTATTGTATAAAGGCATTGCTGACTTCGACGTCGTTGATTGAACATATTGCGCGGAGTAGTCGGTCATGCTCCTCGTTGTACCGCCGTAGACTATCGATCTCGGCCCGTAGATCGTCTTTGGACTTGCGTCGCGGGTGGTCGTATACGCGTCCTTCTCCGGCCTCGTCGCATCTTTTGCACGGTGCCTGGCCATCATCACACTAGAGAGCGAGAAACCAATCAGTGAAAGTATCCAGCTAGGCAGGATATGGGATGAGACAGACGACTGGGGGCTCTTTGGGCTTTGGCTTCGTGTGGGCTATCGACTGACCTTTGCTCGTTTCTTGCGGCACCTCTGACAAGCCATTCGTATCAGCATTCGACGGGGCATTGTCTTTGCTGCCAAGTGCAGTAGGGGCCCGTGGAAAGGAACCGCCTCCTTATGTAAGGTACGCCTATCGTGCCCGGGGCCAGTCGAGGTCAGACCCTGAGGTATCAAGACAACATGGCTTAGGCGTCACGGCGAGATGGTGGTCAGGGCCGCGATCGCCACGTGCTGTCCATGGCAAGGTTTAACGTGCCGGCCCCGAGGCATGTTTGTGCATACGTACATGCATATATATCTTGTATTTATGTATGTATATATGTATGTACATATGGTTGCCCTGGTCTGCATGAGCTCGGAGTAGAGGAACAAGGTTTGGTGTTTGGGTCACTACAGCACCGACGTGCTGCAACACAACATCGCAGACGTCATGCCGACCTCGATGGCGCGCAGGTGGGTCGCTTTACATTTTGTCTTGCCTTGTCTCGTCTTTGTCCCCCGTCATGTCGTGGCGGCCCAAACTAATTGGCAGGGTAGTTCGAGCACGATCTCACTGCAGCCGATCATTAGCCCAAGGGCGGGGTCTTTAGACCCCACTTGTAAGCTACCCTGACTCGTATTGTGTGTGACACACCGCCACTAGCTCGAGGCAACCCCAGGTACGGATACTCAGGATACTTTATGTTACGAAAAGTTGGAGCTACTGTCTAATGATTCAGATGACACTAAGTATCTGGCTTCGCGACACCTCTATGTTATGTCAGACATGTTTGTCGATAGTGTAAGTGCGCCTCACCAATCGTGACTTACGACAGCGCCATTTCCAGAGGGGAAACGCGCATGCTAAGTTACCGCTAGGTGTGAGGCGCCCTTGCCTAATACGGCTAGACACATGGAAGATAAATATCGCGCATAGAACGATTAAGGGGGTCCTGGTTTAGGGCCATGCATAGGTGATGATTCGTTTAAGAAGGGTGCCCTGCACATGGGGATCGTTGGTCAGCAGCGTCCTGCATCTTTTGCTGCAGGTCATCAATCCTACCACCTGTTCTGCCTCCATGGCGTAGTGGTGACACGTCTGGAGCCTCTGCGTCGCAGAGGGTCGGTTCGAAGCCGGCTGGAGGCACCCTGAGCGAACAGGGTACACCCGGGTTCCCGCCCGTCAACAGGAACAGCGTCATGAGAGAACACAATCGGCGTACCAACCACCATCAATGACTAACACAACCACGCTTCAACTTCGACACATCGCGCTTCAGTTGCTGGGAATAGGATGCTGAACACTTGGAGAAATTGACCTTCAAGCAGGTCTGTCATGAAGCGAACAGTGGAATGGTTGGCGCAGCGTAAGATGATATGTGGGGCTTGGGGTGTCATGCATCAGTGTATCGAACCGTCAATAGCCAGAGCGTCTAGGCCCTATAGGGACCTCCCTCCGGGCGGAATAAATCCATACCATTCCATACCACCTGTTCTCGGATGGCTGCCGCCACAGCCCAGAAAGGATTAGTTAACCATGAAATTGCACTGCCGGCCGAATCGCGCTTCTGCTTCACCCGACATTCTCGAGATGGTTGCAATATGTACACAGCAATGACCTGACGTCTTCGTTCTACGAGCTGCTATGCCGCAGCCACAGTGTGCTTCCACCTCTCTTAGCACTTTTTCTGCCAGATTTTGCGTTGTACCAGGCACTACGCCCTCTTCTTGAGATGGCTGCGTTTAGAGGCATATGGAGGCCCGAAGGTGGGCGTAGTGGAGGGTCTCGTGGCAGCAGCTCGGTTGGAGCGCGATGAAGCGGGATAGTGCAGAAGTACTTTAAAGTAGAGCTAGAGAGAAGAGTGAAGGCGAGGGTGGGAGATGTGGGGTCTCGGAGACGTATGCGAGAGAATGGTCAGGGCCACAACTTGCGTCACCAAACCGCGTCCTTTTGGGCGCATTTCAGCGACACTACGGCACAAACCGCGATGACGTTCGAGGTGCGGCAAGGGCTATTACCTACCCCAACCTCCAGAATTGCCGCTTTTGGCGGCTCCAACACTGTCTGTTGATCTGAAACGTGCTTGTGAACTACGCCCAGAAGAAGGTTAAGACATTTTTCGTTTCTTCTGCGACATAGGCTTTTCCGGCTCTCCGCCCGCCGAGCCAAGAATATAGCGTCTAGATTGGGCAAAAGCAGGCTCAGGTAAGTCTGGTGGGCAACGGTCGTGGACATGCGCGAGTAGTTCATACTCCTGTGGAGCTAATGAGCGCCGAAGTGCTCCTTTATTGTCCTGACTGGCTTACTATGTAACATAGTGTACACTACAGTACTATTTCCGTTTGAGCTGGTCTTTTACCAGGAGGAGGCAGAATTCAGCCGGGCAGGGAGGGGCTTTTGCACAAACTTCATGCATGTTTCGAGAGACGGCGCACGTCTGGATGGCGTCATCTTGTCCTCTTAGTAGAAGCGATTTTGACCAATGAGAACTGGAGCTTAGAACATCAATAACTCTGGGCTGCGCGTATGATTGGTCAAGTGACGCCAAGCTGCATCAGAGGCTGTGCACCTGATGGCCGTTAGGACCTGCGGGACGGAACAGAGTGAGTCAGTCAGTCACAGATCGTAAGAGACAGGGGTCACACAACAAGGGGCACGGTTGGTGTGGATGACTGAACAACGATCGGGAAGAAGATCCCTGTGTATCGGGCAACGAAAGACTCTTGATTCTCTATCTAAGTGATGGTGAAAAGTTGGCTTCTTATACTTGGAATTTTGGGCTGAGTGGCGATGTCGCCACCTAGGCAGCATGTAACGGGCTAGGCCCTGCTGGACAAGGCAGTGCCTTGTCGGTCTAAGCACTGTTGCTCCAGTAACGGCTTAGTCTATTTTGTTGGAGGATTTCTGTCCTTCTATTTTCCTTTCCTTCTTCTTTCCTCAGCTCGAATGTAGAACGCACGAGGACTACATAGCTGTAATTTACACTATTAGAACCCATCACACAGCATAGATGACGATGTCACCTAGAAGGTTCGAATCCATCACTAATATGGCATTACGAACTGCTTGCTGCCTTTTAGGCAGCACCGTGAATGAGCGTCTTGATCTTGACAGGGCGGTAGAAACCTTTCGCCAGAACGCAAGTACGGTACGGTCAAAGCCTTGAGATGTACCTACGGCAAGCAACTGCCAACTGGTAAGTTAATTTTCTCCTCGATGCGTGATACTGTAATTTCGCATCTCGAATTTTTGTTATTTGAAGAGTTCAAAGAGCATGAGAGGAGTATCTGCAGATTATGGAAGGGCCGGAAAAATTACACGATATGTATTTCGCGCAGCATCGAAGACTGTGAAGCGTAGACTGGTACACCAGATTCCTAAATACGCTACAACTTGGCGACGCGTGTAAGCCAGGATATCACAAGTATTGCGGCAGCGAAAAATGCAGCGGCTGTACAATGTTCGTTCAACCGCTTGGCAGTGGCTTATTCGATGCTCCACACGCCGGAGCGGGCAACCCAGGGCAGCTCAGGGCAGCTCAGGACAGGCTCAGGCGGCTCAGGCAGCTCAGGGCAGATCAGGGTAGCTCAGCCCCTGCTCAGGGTAGCTCAGTCCCTGCTCAGGTTCGGCACGTACTTACTCAAGGTGGATCAGGTGGTGTTAATGGAAATACAATAGTGTGAACTTTCAAGGGTAGACCATGATTGCTTTGTCGCGCGGCTGGAATAGATCTGAGGAGCGTGTATCCTGAAGCTTCGGGAGGATTCTCGCGGCCAGCCCTTCATGGCAGACTGGTTGCTCGCTAGCTTGCTGGGAAAAGGTAAGATAGCTGCGTGCCTCCCCTAGGTAACTGTTAAAGGCACCACGATAGCCCAATTGACCTCCATCATGCCGTAAGAAGTAATGAGCAGGCAAACATTCGAGGAGCAAATTGACGTTTTTCAAGAATGCTCGTTCCTTAGTTACGTTGTGTTCTAGTCACATTGACGATCGATGCACTTCCGCGACTGAGAGCCGATACGATGCCGCCCACGTGGTTGTCCTTGACAATTGGTTTGTTGCAAAGGACGCTGGACGCTCGATCATGCACGTCTTTTATCTAGGTGTGGATTTTTAGGTGGCCCGACGGCCGTTCAAGCGAAAGACAGAATTAATGTTTAACGACGATTACGCCAATACACATTGGAAGAGGTAGGAGCCAAGTACACAAGTTGTTATGAAGATCTAGAAAGGTGCGGCCCAACGGTCCTATTTATGCCGTTGGGTAACTTCCATGGGCACCAAATTAGCCATACACGTGAGGTCACTATAGGTCCTGATACATGGCCTTATAATGATCTTTCAGGTGGTCCTTGATAACACCTAATAGCCTAACACTCCGACATTCCTCGTAAGAACGATTGGAACACTTCCACCGCAAAAGTTCCTCTATCACCACCGCGCGAAAATGGACGTCAACTAGAAGGCTGAAGCTCGAGGAACGTAAGTTCTCCTTGTCTCATACTAAAAGAAAGATATTCTCCTGATTAGGAAGTCTGGTTGAGAACAAGGTGACTGCTTTAGCCACACACATAGATTTCGCGCGATGCAGGTTGACCGTGGAGATACCAAGCGATACATTCGATTTGCTACCTTGCAGACCAACAACTTCGATTGGTCAAAGGCATAGCTTAGGACACTGTTCCGTGTATTCGTAGAGCATGGTTCCGCAGATGCTCCATATGGTCCAGTGGCAAATCGCAGATCGAACATCTAATCTCATCGCCCTCGCGTAAATTCGACAAGTGCTTGCGTCGGAAGTGCTTGGACAGGTCTCCAGGAGTGTAAAACTCGCGAATGAGAACCTCCACGGCCCCATCATCTGATGTCAAATCAAGGGCCTTGCCGACACAGATGAAGCATCTTCGAGGCCTGTCCGTGACTGTCTTAATGAAGGTGGACATCAGAGCCGTGTGTTGAGGGCTGTTGATAGGCGGTTCGTTCATGAGAGTAGGCCTAGTTGAGTCGACCGACGCTCGAGCGCCGCGGATCGTCTGCCCTTCCTCGACCATACAATAAGCTACGATGGCGGCGATAGCATTGTCTCTCCGTCGATATTGACCTTCGAGCGTGTTGCCAAGTGGAGCGGCGAGGGCCTCAACCAATCGCTTTTGAGCCGGTCGCTGAGGACAAATGGGAGTGTTCACAGTCGCTTGTTTGACAAACCCAATACCTTGCAATTGCCCTCAATGTCGTCCACCGCCTGTCTTGCAGTCCATTCATCTCGAATCTTCTGCTTAAGCACCCTCTTCAATCTTTGCTTCTCGTTCCTCAGTCGACGGCGGAGTTCCATGTGCTTCTTTGAACCTGGGCGATGATGCCGAAGGTCTTGCTCTAGTCGCTTGATGATAGGATCAGTAGACACGGATGCTATTTGTTCAGCTGTGAGATCCGTGGGTCTCCGCTTGCTGATAGAGTGGCCGACGCTGCAGGCCTGCCTTATGAGCGCCTGCTGTGGTTTTTGTCGCCGGAGAATACCCCAAGTATCCGCGCAAACCTCCCGTCCCAGGTAGTGCTTCTGAAAGGGATTCGAATTGGCGTGATCTAGAGCAAGATTTCGCAGCGACTCGCTGATATCGGCTGAAGCTGGAGTAAGCAACAAGGCTATCGTGATTGGAGGACTTGACGAACCACTTCGATCGAACTCATTGGCCGCATTATAACGCAAGTTGTAGGGGATGGTGGGGTATTCCAACCCCAATATTTCGCCAACCCTTCTGATCCATTGTGCAATCATCTGGTAAGAAAGAGGCTTGTCCTGGGATAGCTCATAGCCGGTAAAGGTTTTCATAGCCCGTCGGAATATATATGTGTCTTTTAGATCGTCCTTGAGCGGCAGAGGTAGCTCCGCTCCTCAGGGTGGATATCAAGATTGGCAAGCTGTGCGGGTGAATTGAGACTTGTTGCTCGGAACGCGCGATGGCGGAAAAGAATGCCTAGCAGGAAGATGTGAGGATTGAGTAGCAAGGAAGGGTCGGCCAAGGTCTCTGGAAGAGGAAATGTTTTCCTAGATTCGCGTCAGTGCCATATCCTACGAGCAGATGAAGCACGGCGTTTCTGGCGTCCTTACGCATCTTTGACACCGAGGTACGTTTTCGTGAAGGCTAAGGTGAAGCGAATCAAAATATTATGCGGTCCACCTTCTGGGTCTTTCACCAGTGCAGCCGGATGTCTCCAAACCGGAGACGCAGGATGGATGTGGGGCGAGCTCCAGCGGGTGCAAGAAGAAGGAGAAAGAGAACAGCAAGGATCCGAAGTTCCCCAAGCCTGAACGATTTTTTTGTCGTGCTAATTGTCGTTTCGATTTGCTCCTTGAGATCTTCGATCGTCATGCATCGATTCGCTCGCCTCTGGTCGCTCAAGTCATGTTTTTTGGAGAGGTCTCGGAGAACCTGCAGGGTTACCTTTGACCTATTATTCGGAGGATCGGGCTGTACCTTGTGCATACGCCGATTTAGTTTCGGGTCGAGTTTGTCTCCAGTGGCTCTCTCGAAGACGAGTCGGAAGACTTTCCAGTATGTGCTCAAAGAGCTGCTCTTCCTCGTTCCTCGCCTTTTCCTGCCATCCTTACCGACCTTCTGGTTGAGGGACCAGTCAAAAAAGTTATACAAAAGCCGCAGGGAGCTGGACTCGGAGACAGACTCCAAACATTTTTGGGGGTCACAACCCAGCACCTCGCAGTACCTGAGGGTAGGACCATTACATGTTAGAGGCTGGGAGTCATAAGGGACATGATGTCGTTGGTGACGTACTGGCGCCATTGTGCGTCGCAGGCATCGAGGAGCAGTAGACTACCGTCGCTATAGTCTTGAGCTTCGTAGGCGGTCTCGTTGAATTTCTCAACGGCTTCCCGGTAGTACTCAGGTGGATGAACGTTGCCACCGAAGAGCTGGACTTGGTCTTCAACGTCAGCGTCGACGAATCCGTCTGCGTCATCGAAGTTCAAGTCCTCTACATCCGTTGCCTCCGCATACGTATCCGAGTGAAGGGCTCAACTTTGTCAAAGAGACCACCATCGTCAAATTCGTTCTCGGGGGAGTAAGACGCGTCCGAGTCGTAAGAGATGGCGGAATGGCGTGCTCGGCGCGTCATGGTTGACAATGGATCGTATAAGTCAGCGGGATGCGGCTTTCCGTGAGCTGGCAAGAGGAAAGAGTTTCCACAGTAATGCTTGGTTGTGTAATAGGTAAGATGCTACCAAAATTTGAGGCGGAGTAAGAGCTTCTTAAGTATGACCTATGCGACGCCACCGTTCTGAGCGCTTTGTGGCTCCTTCTTTTGAGGCTAGAAAGAGGTGTCGGAAGGCACACAGCTTAAACGGGCCGCGGAGGCGTCCCGGCGTGGCTCTGCGGGCTGAGCATGATGGGTGACATGCCAAGTACATCGGAGATACTTGGAGGGATGAGCCCGGCGATACATTTGTCCGTTCTCGCTCTGGATTCCTGGCAAATTGGCCGCCACCTTTGGTGGCAGAGACCGTCCAAACGGGTGGTAAATCCGCCGTCTCATAGTTTATTAGAGTATAAGATATTCTTATAATCTATATAGACCTTAACTTTATACTTACTTTTAAAAAGGTAATATCGAAATTCCTTAAAAGCTTAAATAATTATAAGGAATTCTTTATTATAGATAGGGTAATTAAGTTCTACGCTATATAGCTTCTTTAAGTAAAATATAATTAGTCGTAGTCTTCCTTTATTATCCTTTTATCCGATTTATACTCCTAAAGTAAAGTCTAATATATTAGTTTTAAGTTCGATTTATTATTTTAGATTAAAGGTAGTTAAGACTAGTTCTTATATAATTATAGTCTTAATATATTTAAAAGCTTCGTTAGCTTTATCGTCCTATATAAATTCTTTTTCCTTCTTTATTAAGTTATATAATAGTACTATAATCTTTCCGAAATCTTTAATAAATTATTAGTAGTAATTTATAAATCCTAGGAAACTTTATATATCCTTAATATTCTTTAGCGTTAGCTATTTTTTAACTAAGTTAATTTTATCTTATTATATTTATATCTCTCTTAATAAGATTATATATCTAAGGAAGTCTACTTCCTATATATAGAACTTACTTTTCTTTAGTTTAACTAGTAACTTTATATTTTAAAGTACGCGGAGTACCTTATAAACGAATTCCTTATATTCTTTTAAAGTATCTAAAAAGATTAAGATATTATCTAGGTATACTACTATAAAAATATCTAAGTATTTATATAGGATATTATTAATTATTTATTAAAAGGTAGCTAGTATATTTATAAGTCTAAATAGTATTACTAGATATTTAAATAGTCTAAATTTCGTTCTAAAGGCTATTATCTATTTATATCCCTTTTTTATATATATTTAGTTATAGGCGCCTTTAAGGTTAAGGGCTATAAACTATTTTTTACTATATAATCGATCTTATAGTTCTAATATAAGCGGTAATAGTATTTAGTCCTTTATTATAATATCGTTTAAGCGTCTATAGTTAATAACTAGTTATAGCTTACCGTTTTTCTTTAAAATAAATATAACTAGGTAGCCTACTTTAGATATTAACGTTTATATATATCCCTTTTATAGATTCTTATTAAGGTAGTCGCGTAGCGTTTATAGTTACTTTTCGTTTAAGTTATAGATTTTATAGAACGTCGGCGTTATTCTATCCTTAAGATAAATTTTATAGTCTTATTAGCTATATTTAGGTAACCTTATCTTAAGTTCTTCCTTAAAGAGTTTATTATATTTCCGGTATTCTTAAGGGATATTCCTTATTCTATCTTATAGGCTTTATTCTTTCTTTTAAAAGCTAGTTTCTCTTAACTTAAGCTCTTTATTAATTTATTTAAGGTCTTTCCTTAAAGTAGTAATAACTCTTTAGATCTTTATATTATATCCTTTATCCTATTTATATTAGATACTAGGTTATATAGCTATATTAGTTAGTATATAGGTCTTATTAGTCGATTTTATTATATCCGCTAGTTTAGTTACTATTTTTATTTATATCGCTAAAGCCTATAATAATTTACTTAAATAGTTATCCCTTTTATTTTATTTAGTAGCTAAATTATTATAAAATTTTACTTTCTCTTAAATCTACTAGTCCTAGAAACTTATATCTTTATCTTAATATAGCTAGCTAGTTCTTTAGTTAATTAGTAGGTTGCTCTCTTATAGTTATAGAAGCCTTAATATAAGGTCGTATTCTTTAATATCTATAATATTAAAGTTAACTTATTCGTTATAGCCCTAGATATTAATATCGAGGTAATTAATCTCTATATTAATAATTCTATTATTATAGTTAAAGGCCTCTCCTTTAATATTTATAAGTTTATATAAATCTATCTTATATCTCTATATAAGTTAGTAACGATTAATAACTCTAAGTAAAACGTAATTACCTATCGCGCTATAGTCTAAAAGTAGATATATATAATATCCCGCGATTTAGATATTTAATACTATTTAGTCGCTATAGCTTACTATTACTATATATAGGGTCCTTAGATCTTATTATATTATACTAGTCTATAGCCCTTTTATAGATAGCGTACCTTATTTTTTACTTAGTCCTTATTTATTTTATTTAGGTATTCTTCTTTAATTTATTATTAATATCGTTTCTTTATATTTTCGTTATATAGTATTATATTAGGGCTTAAGAGACTAATTTCTTATAGCTAATTAAAGATTTCTTATTTCTTAACGCTATATGATTTATATTATACTACTTTATAGTTAATTATATACTATACTTTATAATTTTATTTATTTTATACTAAAGGTTAAGTTTTCGTTTAGCGTTTTTCTATTTTTTATATAGTATTTCTATATCGATTTTTCCTTAGTTAAATACGGCTTATAGCCTTTATATATATTACTAATAATCGTTTAGTATACTATTATATTATTTATACTATACTTATACTTTTTTATATTTATAAACTCTATAGTTTAAGTATATATATTCGTTATAATCTTCTTTATTATATTTAACTTATTATATAAGTCTTTAAAAGATTAAGGGTTTAGATGCCTTAAAGCGAGTAGCGCTATACTATTCCTTTATTTTAGCGTATTTATAGATTTTATATATCTTTAAAAGATATCTCGTTAATAATCTATAATTATTATAGTATTTAAGTAGTATACTATAATTAGGTTCTAATAATATAACTTAGTCGTTTAAGTAGCGTTAATCGATTTTCTAGTAGTTTAGTTCTATACTTAGGTAGGGTTTTAAAAGTACTTATCCTTTAAACCTAACTAGGAAGGTATTATATTATGCCTTTATCTAAAAGTATATTATATAATCTAAGTAGACGTATAATATCTATAAAATATACTTATAGTACTTATAAGTAAGTAGTATTTATAGATTATCTTTAAATTTTCCTTATAGTTACTATTCTTATTATAGAGCTATAAAGGTATCGACTATAGTAATAGCTATAGTATAGTTTCCTTTATATAGTACTAGTTAATATTAAATTAATATAGCTTATTAGTTTTCTATAAGAATTTAAGGTATTTATTAGGTTCTAATTTTAAGTATTTCTTTAAATTCTTTAAAGTATAGAGCGTATTCTCTAATCGTAGTATTTTCCCTTAGTAGCGAGGGTAGTAGTATAAGTTTATTCTTATCTTTTATTTCTCTAGGTATTTCTTATTCTTTAGAGCTTATATCGTCGATACTTTATTAGTCCTCTTTAAGTTATTATCTAAGTTTCGTAAGTATAAGGGCTATATCTATATCTTCTTTATTATATTATTTATAAACTACCTATCGTTATTATTAATTTTTACTTTATATATCTTCCTAGAATTATTTACCGTTTTTCTTAATCTAGTCTTAAGAGACTCCTTTAAGATAAGGGTATTTTAGTTCTATAAATTTAACTTATTTTTATATTTTAAGATCCCTTCGTTATATTATTATAAAGGTCTTTATTAGTAGCTTTAAGAACTATTTAATACTATTCTTATCGCTTAGGTATACTATATATTTATCGTTATAGTATATAGTCTAATTAAGGAGTTTATACTTTAGTTCCTATCTATTAATAGCGTTTAAGTATTTCTTACCTTTTAGGGCTAGTACTTAGTAGGTTTTCTTCTCCTTATAAGGTTATTTATATTCTTTAAAGTAATATCTAAGTTTCCTATAGTTAAAATACTTTTCTTTACTTTTTTATATTATATTTAGATCTATCCTACCTAGGTTAGTTATATAGGCGTAGGTAATAAGAGTTTCGCGCTTCTTTTTATAGTTAATATATTAGTTAAAGTTATTCTTATAAGAAGGGTTTTAGTTTCCTCTTCCTTATTTCTTTTCTTAGCGTCGCGTATACTATCTATCGTTAATTTATACTATTATAGTAATATAGTTTAAAAGGTTATTAAGTTAATTTTCCTTATAAAGCTCGTCCTTAACTTCTTCTTTAAGCCTATTATAGAATCGTAATATAAGAGGTTTATCGTTTTAATTAAGCTTTAAGGTAACTTAACGGAACTTTATAGTATAATCCGCTATTAAGATCCTTTATTAGAGTTCTTAAAGTTTCTATTTAGCCTCTTATTCCTCGTTAGTTATTCTAAATACCTTTATAATAGCTTCTTTAAATCCTTAGAAACTAATAAAGACTTTATCTATCTCGTTATCTTATCGCGCTAGTTAGTTATCGAGAAAGTCCCTTATAATAGGTTTAAACTAAGCGAGTGCCGTTTTAGATAAATAATTTCCTATATAAAGTACCTTTTTAACTAGGTCTAAGAGTTTAGTAAGATAAAACCGGTAGTAGGCCTTAAGTTAGGTAAGAAAGTCTTAAAGTATACTATAAGTACCGTTAAATAGTCCTAGCTATTTTAGTTTAACTACTTCTCTAAGGTCCCTAACTTATTTATTACCTCCTTTATTCCTAAGTAACTATACCTTATATTAAAGGGTAATAATCTCGCGTAAGGTAATATAATAGCTCTAGAGTTAGTTAATTTAGTATACTATATAGGTATATTAATAGTTATAATATTACTTAAAGTAACGCGGTATTATACTAAATAAGAGCTTTTAATATATAATAACTAGTATTATTCCTAAGGGATAAACCTATTAAGGATATAATAGATATAATAGGGCGTAGTTTAAGTAATAATAAGTATATTACGTTAGTAATAAGTTAAAGGTTATAGACTATAGACTATAACTAAGTAATTAAGTAATTAGAATTAAAGATAAGATCGTAATAGAGATCGTAATAATTATAATATTAAAAGCTATTAAGCTATTTATTTAAAGGAGTATTTTATTCCTTCTTTATATATCTCGAGAGCTTCCCTAGATCGCTGAGAGCGCTAGGTAATCCCGTCGTCTAGCGCTAGAGCGCTAGAGCGATCCTACGATCCTAGATTAGAGCGCTAGAGTAATTGGCTTAATTAGTTAGTCTATATAATTGCTCCCTACGTTACGTAACCTCGTAATATATATTAGTCCCCGCGGTTCGCTAGACCGTGGTCGTAATATATAGAAGGCTCGGCCTTACGTAAAATAGTTAATATCTCTTAAGCCGGCAGCGCTTTATATTAAAAAAGGTTCTACTTAAGAGCTTACTATATTATAGTCCGTCGGCGATAAATATTATACGCTAAGGGATTAAGATATAGCCCGTAGTTATAGTAGCCCTTAGTAACTCGAAAAGTCTACTACTAAGCTCCTTCTTCCTCGTTATATAAGGCCGTTATAACGAGGCGGAAAGGGCAGTTAAGCTTCTAGGTAGACGGCTTATATAGCCCTATGCTAGTAGAAGCCCGCCGCGGGCTATAATCGTATATAAAGAGGACTAGGGTTATAAGGGAGATCTCGTTAATATCTCGCTTATATAAGCTTAACTACTTAACGACGGCGGCACCGTTCTCGCGAAGGAAGCCCTAGACGAAGTTATACGCCTTATCATAGGTTTCGAAGCTTAGAGACGGCGGCAAGGGCGGGATAGTGTCTCCGCGTTCCTCGTTAGCATCGTAAGATTTATTATCGCCTTAAGGTAGCGTAGGTGCATTAAGGAGGGAGAGAAGGGGGTCCATCGCGGCGGCGGCGATAGCTTTAAATTTAGTATATATATATAGAATATAGGTAGGATCTTATATGTATGTGTGGTGTGTGTGTGTGGGCGGGCTCGGGCGCGGGCATTTAGGCGGTACCGCTACCTGCCATGGGGGCGCGGTATAAATAGGCGGGGCGGGCTGGCGTTAGTACGTATCTTAAAAATGGGGCGTTTGTACGAATAGAGATAGGTGTGTGTACAAATAGCAATACTCTTCTCACGTACCAGTCAGGTGTGACTGTGCCTTCCTTCTTCCACAGGGTCCAACTTTGTATGACTTTGATGAGTAAGCCGAATCTCGGCAAGTTGGCGCGGAAGCGTGTTTTCGCCGCCTCGATCTTCAATCCCGCATCTCTCAAAACTGTACCTGTATTTTTTCGATCAAAAGCTGGCCAGACCTGACCATGCTCCGCCAAGTGATTGAGAGGTCCATTCGTCCTTCATTCGCGTGTTATTCTCTCGTTAGATTCGCACCCGCTAGCATCTGTTGTCGTTCACGATTCTCGACAATGCTGCCTCTTAAGTCAATCGAGTACGAGTGGATCGATGGCGTTGAGCGACTCGAGATGTATGAGCCCGGAGGCTACCATCCCATTATGATTGATGATGTCTTGCACTCTCGGTATCGCATTGTGGACAAGCTAGGATACGGCGGTTACTCGACTGTTTGGCTTGCGCACGATGGTCGACTCAATCGCTACGTTGCCATCAAGGTGGCAATTTCTCAAACCACACTCCTTCGACGCGAGACTTCAATTTTGCACGCCCTCTCAGAGCCTAGAGTCACTCCACCCCTAGTCAGTGAAGCTACGTCCATCGCCGCAAACGATGTTTTGCCGAGTATCTTGGACGAGTTCGACGTCCGAGGACCCAATGGCATGCACAAATGCTACGCAGTTGGTCCCGCTCAAGGGAACATCAAAGACGCATCGTTCAACCGTCTTTTCCCCATTCACGTTGCGCGAGCCCTGGCGGCGAAACTAGCGGTAGCCGTTGCCTTTGTTCACTCGAAAGGCTTTGTTCATGGAGGTTTGTTATGCTCTGTCAATGCCTAGCTGCGCGAGGTTAACTCTTGGGAGCAGATATTCATCTTCGAAATGCATTAGTCAAGCTTTCACCGAGCTTTAACAATCTCTCCATCTTACAACTTAGAGAAAAATTCGGCGAGCCAGAAACGGTGCCTATTAGGCGCGTTGATGGTAAGCCGTTGTCGCCCAATGTTCCAAGCCAAGCAGTGACTTCCCTATATCTCGGCAAAAGAGCGCCGGATTTTACGATCGAAGATGCGCGAGGCCTTGTCCTTAGCGACTTTGGGGAGTCCTTCAACCCGACTACAGAACTGCGTCTTGGCAGGAACTGCAACACACCCACTGCTAAGAAAGCACCGGAAGCGCTATTCGAGCCGGAAGCTGCGCTGTCATATTCATCAGACATTTGGAGCCTAGGAACTGCCATCTGGGAAATTCTGGCCATGAAGTTTATCTTCAGCGAATCCGAGACTGAGGATGAGATAGTGGCTCAGCAAATCGATGTCCTGGGTCACCAGAGTTTTCCAGAAAGCTGGCGAGAACGATGGGAGAGGCCTGGCTTGGAAGAGATGCATCCCGGAAGCAGAGTACCTCGCCGGCCTACTACTGACAGAGAGATTTGGCCGCCACTAGAAAGAGCTTTCGAAGAATTTGTGCAGAAATACAGAAGAAGGCGAGAGGCAGCTGGCGTGTTTGGCGATGATGAGACACGGGCAATCCTGGACTTGATGCGAGGCATGCTCAAGTTCCCACCTGAAGAGCGACTCGATATACAGGCGGTTTTAACGTCCAATTGGATGGTCAAGTGGGCATTGCCCAGTCTGCAGCAGGAAGGGACATTCTATGCATTTAGTTGATCGAAGCTGGTCCAAGGCCCAGCCGTAGTCCTCCTCGCTTTCGCCGCGAATAAATGCAAAAGCGATACAGAAGGATTGCTGGCTAGCATCAACGCCAACGCAGTCGAGGTGCGGCATTGAATACTTGTTCGTCTGATATGTGCAATCCAAGAGAAACAACTCCGGGTAGTTCTTGGTGTATGCTAGTAACTCTGGATGGGCGATATGACTGCTGTGACGCGGTTGTCCTTGTCTAGCTGTATCTTGCTTATAAACCCTTCGTCATTGAGTTGTTTAGCAAGGGCGTGGATAGAGCTTTGGCCTTCGCTGCGCTGCCGTCTGTAATCCGCAATGCGATTATAGATGTCTTGCTGTGCTATGGGAGCGCTTGAGTTCTGGCGAATGCAAGTTCTGATGTCCTTTGGCGCTACCCCGGCATTGACAAGGGTGCCAACCAATGCGATATCTTGAGGACTTAGTCTGCGAAGCGTCGGGTGAGCCGACTCGTGCCAGCTTAGCTCATGATTATGGACAGCGAATTGGCTGCCTAAACGATACTTCACAGTCCATGTAGACCCGTCGAGACTTTGCTTTGCTAAAAATGAGCATTGGCAGCGAGTGCCCCGTGTCGAAGTGCGTCGCTGTCGGTCTTCCAAATTGCTTGAGGGTTTGCAAGAGCGATCACAAGCGTATGTGATCGTCAGCTTTCCACTCTTCTCTTTGTGAGTCCGCAACGTGATGAAGGCACAGCCTCGCGGCGCTGCCCAGGAATTGATCGCCGTTACTAAGACGTGCCGGGACTCATTAGTCACTCTTAGGAGGAAGTTCGTCGTCCTAAAATGGATGAGTGTTTACGTGGCAAAAGAATGATACTCTTAAGCAGTGGCCTGAGAGCATAGTAGAAGAAATAGGGGCATAGAAAGGTAAATTTAGTAATATATATCTTAGTCTATCTATTATAATAAAGGAGGGGCTTATATATATAAAGTAACTATAAATAGCTAGCCTAAAGGGGGTATTAAGATATTCCTATACTTAAGTTAGGCCTATATTATATCTTATAGCTAAGGGGGTTATATTAATTAAGTAAGCTTCTATATATATAGCTATTAAGTTTACTAAGTATAGCTCTAGCCTCTTATAGCTATTTCTTAATATATACCCTTACTCTTAAGTAAGGGCTTAAGAGTATAGTAAAAGAAATAAGGGTATAGAAAGGTAAATTTAGTAATATATATCTTAGTCTATCTATTAAGATAAAGGAGGGGCTTATAAAGGTATAGTAGCTATATATAGCTAGCTAAAAGAGGGTATTAAGATATCCCTATACCTAAGTTAAGCCTATATAATATCCTTAAGCTAAGGGAGTTATATTAGTTAGGTAGGCTTTCTTATATATAACTATTAAGTCTACTAGGTATTACTATAGTATCTTATACCTACTCTCCTTAATATACCCTCTTACTACCTTAGCTTTTAAATAGTAGGGTAATAAGTAGAGAAGCGTTTAGTTTAATAAATATAAGGCTATTTTAATATTAAATTTAGCTACTTTATTATTTATTTAAGGAGGTTATCTTAAAATAAGGGTGTTGCGAAGCGTAGCTTAATTTTATAGTTCTTAGAGATATCCCTTAGTAAGAGGGACTAAGGAAGCTAAAAACACCCGTTATAAAAGAAAGAAGAAAGGAGGTATAGAAAGGAGGGTAGAGGTATAAGGGGAAGTAGAAGTAGCGATAGCTTCTTATAGAGGTAGCGAGAAATAAGACGGATATACCGGTAACGGCTAGAAAGGAGGGGAAAAACCGGTAAAAAGCTTAGTAGTTAAGAGGATATTAGTAGCTTCTTTAAGTAGGATCTTCTTTATTAATTAAGATACTAAATAGGTATAAAGAAGGGCGTTAGATAAAGGAAAGAAGGATAATTAAGGCAATATAATAATTACTCCCTTACTATAATTACTACCCTTATAAGAATTAAATATCTCTACCTTACCTATCTAACCCTTTACTTTTACTTTTACCTTTATATATTACTATATATACTTCTTATACCTCTCTTTATAAGAGTTATAAGCCTAGGAGGAATAGAATTCTTATACCTTCTAGCTACTATAAAAGGTACTTTTCTTATATACCTTATAGCTTTATTTTACCCTTCTTATTAGAAAAGCTAATTTTTAACTAACTTTTCTACCCTCTCTTTTATAATAATATTAAAAACTAACTCTACCGCCCCTATAATATATAGGACGATTCTTATAAAGCCTTAAGATTAAGATAAGTAGGTAAAGGAGCTATAGGCTCGTATAAATAGAACTATCTATAATTTAGTTTTCTTTAATAAGTAGGACCCTCTTAAGCCCCCTCTTTATCCTAAGGTAATAGAATTTATAGAGGGAGCTTCCCTCTTCTCTAAGCTAACCTCTATATAGTAAAGAGCTTTTTCTACTACCTTAGGTAACTATAAGAGTTATTATAAGGAATACCTTTATAAGATAAAGCTACTAACTACTATATATATAGCGATAATAGAATCCGTTAGTGCTATAAAGCTAATCTCTCTTTAAGAGGAAGAGACCCTTAGGTAGTAGCTTTTTCTAAAGGTATATAAGTAAAAGCGGAATTTTAGGAAATAAAGGAATCACGTAAGGCTACGTAATAGAGGGGAAGAAGGAGTATAAGGTAGGATTTTCAACGGAATTTATTAGTGGTGTATTAGTATATAGAAGAGGTTTTAAAGTTAATGATTTCTCTATCTATCTACCAGCGGACATGCTGTCTTATATAGACAATTATAGCTGAACGGAAGAACCTTTCGGGACCAGATTTAGGCTGCCGTATAGCCCTAAGACTAGGGAATTCCGTGATACCTCGAGTGAATCTAGAAGTATCTTGGTTCCACTAATATTCGTGTTTAAAGGAGGTTGGTCGTGCCGGTATTCTTAAGAGGTCTTAGCTAGCATTCTAAGCTAGCTCTGTTCCTTCGATTCCCGATTATACGATAACCGGCAACCCGTTTAATGCATAATAACATATAAGATAACGAGCGATTCTTGCTCTAGAGGATAAGATTTTATCTATAATTAATATACTACTTATTAGCTTATATAATCGGGAGAGTATATTATAGCTGCTTTATTTATAGTAGGAACACCGTTCCTTATAGCCTCCTTAAAGTAGATTTATATACTCTTTACTGATTTATTTATAGTAGTATATATATAGGGTAAAACCTAATTTTAGGAAAACCATTCTTATACCTTAATAGGATATATAAAAACCTATTCTTTCTTAGGATAAAATCCTTAGGTATATACTAATAGAAAAACCTATAGTAGGAAAACTCTATAGTTATAATAATTATTTATAGGATAACCTTATATAAGGTAAAACCTATTATTGCTAGGAAAATCTTAATAGATAAAAACCTAGTAAATATTTCTCTAGGAAACCTAAAAGGAAAAACCTAGTAGGGGAAGATATAGAAAGTATAAGAAATATCTAAAACCCTTTTAATTGCTTAGGAACTTATATTAAGGATAGACCGTCTCTAAATTTATAGAGTAATCTAGGTCTTAATTCCTTCGTAAAAATATTAGCTATATTATCTTTTAATTTAATATAAAAAACTTTAATTTCCCCTTCTCTTATACTAGTTCTAGTATAGTAATAGGCTAATCTTATATACTTAGACCTTTTATAAAATTCCGGATTTTCTACTAATTTAATAGCAGTAGTATTATCCGTTAAAATAGGAGGTATAGTATTAGGAATCTTAATAGATAGATCCTTAGTAATATTTTTAAAAAGCATATTTAAATAAATAGCTTCTTTATTTGCCTCCCTAAGGCTAATATACTCTGCTTCGTAGGTAGAAAGGGCAATGGCTTTCTGCTTAGAGCAAGCCTAGCTTATTATATTATTATATATATAAAATAGTAACCGGAAAAGGATTTTCCGTCCGTTAAATCCGACGCCTAGCTAGAGTCGGTAAAACCCTTTATATATAGATAGGTAAAGGGATATTGCAATTATATTTAATCTTTAGGCTAGGGAATTTATTTAAATATTTCTAAATTATATTTAAAGCCTTAAAATACGTCTAGTCGGGCTTAGCCGCGAATCTAGCCTAGGAAATTATAGAATATAAGATATCTAGCCTAGTAAATAAGGCTAAGTATAATAAAGATCCTATTTCTTTCTAAAATTATAATATATCTTCCTTAAAAGGTAATTCCTTTACTTTTATAAGCTTAAAGCTTACTATAGTAGGTAAATTCGAAGTTCCTAAACCTTCTTTATTAAATTCCTTTAATTTATTTAAGGTATAATTTTCTTAGGATATATATAGCTCTTTATTTTCTCGGTTTATTATAATATTTAGACCTAAGAAGTCTTTTATATCTCCTAAGATAGTAAAATCTAGGAATTTAGATAATTCTTTAAATAATATTTCTTCTATTATAGATTTAGAGGGCCCTACTATAAGAAAGTCGTCGACGTAAATTGCTAAGGCTATACTATAGTCCTTATTTATAAATACTCCTTTATCTATTAAAAGAGGAAGAAATCCGAGTTTATTTAGTATAATTTTTAAATAATTATACTAGAGCTTAGGACTTTGTTTTAGGCTATATAATGCTTTCTTTAGCTTTGCTTTAATTTAACCGGTTTTATATAGGTCTAGGAATTTAGTTAATTTAATTCCTTTAGCTCTATAAGCTAATCTATATTTTAAATAATATTCTTTAAGAGCGTATTCTTCGTAGCCTATAGGAAGATCGATATATACTTCGCTATCTATATCGGTATATACGAAGGCATTTATTATATCTATTTATAAAGCTTCGAATTCGTAGATAATAGCTAAAATAAGTAGAATTCTAATAGATTCGGGTCTAGCTATAGTCGAGAAGGTATCTAAGAAATCTAAGCTATAGATCTACTTAAATCCTTATATTACGAAACGGGCTTTATATTTTATTATATTATTTTAACTATCCTTCTTAATAGTATAGACCTAGCGGCCTCCTATAGCCTCCCTATCCTTAAGGAGGTAGGAAAATTCCTAAGTTTTATATTTAATTAGCTAGATAATTTCCTTAATTATAGTATCTTTCTAAAATACTATTTTACCGCTATTTATTGCCTATTTATAGGTCTTTAGAATTTTTAGATCCTGATTTTCTATACTAGCTAGAATTAACTCTATAAAATCGTAGTTTAAAAATAAATTAACGTTAGGGTATTCGATATAGTTAGAATTAAACCCTTCCGGCTTCTTAGGTAGTTCTACTACTATTTTACTAGTAGTAAGAATAGGATCGTTATTTAGAGACTCTTCTTCTATAGAGGGCGAGGGACTTTTATCTCTAGGTTCTTTAGTAGCTTCCTTTATAGGGATATAGCTTTCTAGCTTATCTTTATTTAGAATAGAATTAACATTAAAGGTATTATTACTACTAGAGATTTCTAGATTTTTTATAAATTTATTTTCTAGTATAGTAATATCTCTAGAGATAGTAATCTTTCTCTTAGAAAAATCCTAGATTTTATATATATTTTCTAAATAGCCTACTATTATTCCCTTAAAAGCTCTATTATCTAGCTTATCTTTAAGGTCTTTATTCTTATAATATATAAGGCTTCTAAAGGTCTTAATTTTATTTAAGGTCTTAAAGGGTAGTATTATATTATCCCTCTTTTCTATAGGACTTTTAAATCCTATCGTAGAATACGGTAATCTATTATATAAATAGGTAGCTATTAAAACAGCTTCTCCCTATAGATATTTAGGAAGCCTAGTAGTAAATAAAAGAGCTCGTACTTTTTCTAATATAGTACGATTTATTCTTTTTATTCTACCGTTAGATTCCGGCGTCCTAGGAGGACTAGAATTAAAGGTAATTCCTTCTTTTCGTAATAAAGCTTTATTTTATATATAAATTCTTTAGTATTATTAGAAAATGCTTCTCTAATCTTAGTATTTTTAGGGTTATTTTCTACCCTATTTTTAAATTCTAGGAACCTATCTAAAGCTTCTCCCTTTTTTTAAAGAAGGTATATTTCTAGATATCGGGTTCCTATATCTAGGAAAGAAATATAATAGTAATATTTATTATAAGTAGGCACTTTAATTAGCCCCTAAATATCTAATACTATTTTTTCTAAATATAAATAAGACTTATACGAAGGTTGTTTATTAACCTTATTCGTTGCTTTAGCTCTAATATATATTTCGTATTACCTTATTTTATTTTCCTCTTTTAGAGGCATTTTTATATCCTTATTATATCTTTTTAATATTTCTAAAATAGCCCTACTATTTATATGCCCTAAGCGTAAGTACTAAGTATAAAAATCTATATCCTTTACTTTTAAAGACGTAATAAGGATCGATTAGCTTTCTAATAAAGGTTCTATAAGAATATAATATAATTTATTTCTAAGAAGTCCTTTAGTAAGGACCTTAGCCTTATTATCTAATAAAAGGACTTTATTTCCTCCTATTAAGGCATAGGTATTATTAAAATAAGATTAGGATAGTATATTTACCCTAATTTAGGTATATAAAAGCAGTCTCGAAGGATATACCTTTTCTACTATACAGGAACTTAAATACTAAGTCCCCCTTTCCTTTTACTAATATAAAGGAAGCTTTCCCCTAGCAAACTTTAGACTTAATTTCTTTATAGTTAATAAGGAAATTCTTATTAGATACTATATACCTAGTAGCTCCGGTATTATAGATAAAATCAAAGATCCTTTTATTCTTATAACTAGGAAATCCTCCTTCTCTTACCTTTAAAACTAATTCCTTTATTCTAGGAATTAAGGCTTCTAAAGGTCTTAAAAGAGAGTCTTTATTAGCTTCTATTATAGGGGTATTTATAGAGGTTAAAATTACCTCTAAATCCTTAGACGTTTATATAAGGGTTAGAGCCCTAGAAAGGTCTATAAGGTCGATATCTAGGTCTATATTTTCTTATAAAGCTATATTTAAGACCTTATTACTATCGTCCGAATCGGACTCTAGCTCTATAATTCGATCCTTCCTTTTTTTATTAGTAGTAGAAATACTACTAAAAGGGGATTTCTTCCTAAAAGAAGAAGATAAAGAAGAAGATTTTCTCTTCTTAGAAATTCGAGTCCTATCGTCCTTTTTTTCTTTATTTAAAACCTAATAAGTAGGAGCCTTATTTAGGTATAATTTATAGTAATTTACTATAAAATGCCTTGGTTTTTTGCATTCCTTATAATAAGGAGTATCTATAGAATTTCTATAGGATTTCTAAGGCTTCCTTTATATTAAGAAGGCTTTCTCCGAAGATTTATCTATATCCTCTATTCTTCTAGCTTCGTCTAAAAGATTAGCTATTAGGGATTCATAGGTAAACGCCGTAGAATTATACCTAAGGCTCTACGTAATATTTATAATATAGCTTCTAAATTCCTTATTAAGGTAATTAAGAATCCATGCTATAAGGATAACTTCTAGAATTTCTATATTACGGGATTTTAAATCCTTATAGATTTCTTTTACCTTATAAAGGTATTTCTCTAAATTAGAGCCCGAGGGACTAAGATT